CTGGTTGAATCGACCCTTCCTTGTAACCCTTCTGTGATGTCCAGTTGTCTGCAGATGTACTTTGGGTCTCCATTCCAACCCCTCTCTTTCACATCAATATAATTGTTTTGTTTTGGATCTTTTGATATCTGACACCTGATCCTGTCAACACCTCATGATCACACAGGCTGGTGTCCTTCTTCCACGTGGGCTTATTTGCTTCCCTGCTAGATGGCCACTTGTTTAGCTTCAAGCCTTTGAGACCCCAGATGCTATATCATTTGATAGCCAGGCACAATCAGTTTTCTTCACCACATTTGCTTCATTTTATCTTCAGTAATCGTGTAGGGAAAGTGAGCATCACAGAATACCAGGTTATTAGAACAAAGTGTTTTTGTGTTTAGGGAGGCCTTGTGTAGAGGCCCAAAATCTGTCTGCTATGTTAATACTTAACATATAAATATATGTGCATTGACCTCTGTGCCTTTCATTATAAATTAATACACTGACATGCCTACAGCTATACCTCTAGCAGCCTGTGGTTTGCAATTCCCAAGGTCAGTAGTTTTGAAACCATCAGCCGCTGCTCTGGGGAAAGACGGGGCTTTTTCCCCCCCACAAAAAGCTACCGTCTCAGAAAGCCAGAGGGCAGTTCTACCCTTCTCTAAGGGTTGCTTTGAGTTGGCATTGACTGGGTGGAGTGTTTGGTTTGGTATGCAAAAGATGCAATTTTGCTTACTGAAAGTTAAGAGACCTTGAAGCATTTATTGGTGAAGATGAAAGACTACAGACTTCAGTGTGGGTAGCACCTCAATAAAGAAAACAAAAATCTTCTGGACTAGTGAGCAACATTATAATAAATGGAGAAACATTTCACTTGGATCCACAATCAATGAAGCTGCAGTCAAGAAATCACCAAACATATTGCATTGGGCAAATCTGTTGCCCAAGACCTCTTTAAAGTGTTGAAAAGCAAGGATGTCGCTGAGAGAACTCAGGGGCTCTTCACCGACACCATGGTATTTTCAATTTGCTCAGATGCACCTGAAATTTGTCAGTGAATCAGGAGGACCTCAGAAGTGATACATTGAAGTTCTGGTGTTGGTGAAGATCAGAAGTAGCATGGGTTGTCAAAAGAATAGCAAATCTGTCTTGGAGGAAGTATAGTGGGAATGTTCCCTGTAAGTGAGAATGATGAGATTTCATCCTATATAGTTTGGACTAGCCCAAATTCGGTCCTCTGCCTTCTCAAACATAAAGATAGTGGCATTCTGCTTCTCACCACCTCTACTGGAGTGGGAATTGCCGGCAGGGGAGAAAACTGTAAACACAAATCATTATTGATGTCTGCCTAATCTTTATTTTACCTGAATCTAGTGCCTTCAATATCATACCCCCCACCCCCCAGGCTTAATAACAATTATTTGATGGATAATTAGTCCAATAAAATTCATTCTATTGCTAGAACTAAACTTTACCATAGATGTGCATTGTAATTTTTTTTGCTAATTCAGCATTTATACTTACACTTTGATTAGAAGTTTCCTCCATGTAGAAGTTAACTGTTTTATGTATTTAAATTTACTAATTTTTTAGTGAATTTTGGATTTTCACTCATAATTAAGGCTTCTTTGATTATACTGGAATTATACTGGATTATACAGATTATACTGGAATTCATCCATTGTTTTCTACTTAATACTTATTAATAATCCATTGTTTTCTATTTAATACATGTATATTTCAAACTTAATTTTTTAAAATTACTTTGGGATTTTTCCTAATAGAAGGTTTGAAGTATGGATCCAATTTTACTTTTTCCAGATTTTCACTGAAACTCACAGCACCATTTAATGAACATGTTCTCTTTCCTCTCCTTTCATTTTAATTCGCCCTTGATCATAGACTCAGTTGGTAGCTGTATTTCAGCCTGTTTCTGTGCTTGTCTGGTGTCTCCTCTCTGTGATGCAGCAGCACCCCCACAGTGTTTCTTCTGGAGGCATGGGTGCTGCTGGTGTTGCGGCATCTTAGCGTCTTTATAGGTCAGAGAGGGAGCCTTTCAACTCTGCACTTTCAGTCTGTATATGGCTGTGCTTGATAGGTGTGTTGCATAAGTGCTGTGAAAGAATCGTGGCTAGTTAAAACCTATTGGACATCTTTAATAGTTTAGAAAATAACCTACGGTAAAATCACTTCTTCCTCATTTTGAATTTTGCTTCTCAAGAAACACTAGTAAGGTTTCCCTCTTGTGTGGGCTTTGAGTCCTTATTTAATATTTTAAAGTTTTACTCACAAGTACATTTTTTGTTTCTTGGGGATTTTGATTCATTTGTTTGATATTCTCACAATCATCTCTAATAAAACTAGAAAACACTTACGTTGACTGCACCTTCTTATTTATATACTTTTGCTTTCAGCTACCAGCTATGAGATAAGAATGAGTAAAAATCTTCAGAATATTCAAGATGACTTTGACAATGCCATTTTAGTGAATACATCACAGCTAAACCCTCAGAAAGCTGGCATCAAGGAGAGATTTACATTCTCACCAGAGCTGTTCACAAACGAACCTGAACATCAACTTGCTGGAGAGACACCAGAAAACCACACATTGTATGTGGCAATACAAGCAATCGATAGAAGCTCCTTGGGTTCTCCTGTTTCTAATATTGTCCAGACTTCTCTGTTGATTTCCCAGAACTCCACGCCTGTGCTCACCAGAGATTGCCTTATATTGAAAGGAGTTCTAACGGCAATGGTTCTGATAGGAATTGTTTGCCTTGTTATTGTTGTAATGTTTTATTCTTTAAACAGGAAAAAGAGAAGAGCTAAGAAAGAGAATGAAACAAAGTTACTGTGAACAAATGGGCAGAACACCTTTTCCCTTAGATATAAGACCTCTGGCCTCTGGATTTCATCAAATACGCAAATAAAACATATTAAAAACAAAATTATATGAACTATTTTGGGTTTGTATAAAACAAAGCATAGTTTCATGTGACAGGTAGACAAAATTTACTTTATAGCATTCAGTTTCTGGAGAAAAGTGTCGCTCTGTTTCAGAAATTAGGGCAATCTTAGGCTTTGGCAATGTAAAAAAACAATGAAATTGTCCTTCAAGATAATGTCTTTAAAGGCAAAGTGAAGTGGAAAGTTGAATCAGAATCAGGAAAAATATTTTGTACTGAGGAGGAAAAATAGCCCCAAGAAGCAGGGAGAAGATTAGGTCTGAATTATTGAATGCCATTGTCTACTTTAAGCAATTGTCTAGTTATTTTGATTAATTGATCATCCTCTCCTCACCTTATCTGTTCAGCAAAGGTGGCTGGTTTGTGAATGAAGCTCATTTATGAATGGACATGAAACCCCTATGTAAAGTTCTTTCGTTTACTTCTTGTCACTTGCTTAAATATACTACAGATCAAATTTGACATCTACTGCTCAGAGAGCTCTTTTTTCACTGCTAAGAAGTAACCCCAAATCCTGGGTGTTATCCCTGCCCCTGACGTTGGTACTGTAATAGAGGTCTACTGTAATGGAGGTCTAATTTCACACTCCTATCAAAGCAGCTTTTGACCTATTGCCTTGGATATTAATGACCTAAATTGGTAGTACCATTTAAAATACTTTAAGTAAGACATGAAACCGTGTAATTTTGAACTTATTGTAATACATATAAAGACATGCAGCTTTATTAAATTTTAACCAAAGAAGTGGTCAGAGATCAACCCTTGGAAATACTTAGCTGGTTCTGTTCTTTGGTTAAATAGAGCATAGGAAACCTTTCAATTAGGCAGTTGGTGGTATGGCTAAATACAGACCACAAGAAAATAAAAATCTTTTTCTCTCAGTTCTATTTCCTGCTAACTTCTAAAACACTACTGAGCAACAAAAAAGATCCTTTGCTTTCTAAGCTAAAAACTGTATCAAAAAATACTTGTAAAAAATATATATCAGTTTCATATCCAGGACCAATTAAGATAGAAGTTAAATTAAGCATTAGGAGGTGAGAAGAGACATGTGGAGAATTGGGACGGAAAGTTAAAGAGACAAAGAGCATGCAGCCCTGAATAAGAGACCCAGAGCACTATGTCCAAGATGACCAGAGGATGTAAATAGGATATAGCCAAAGAAAATATCACCCAGGCCTATCATTAGACTGATGGCTGACTGACAATAGGACGTCCTGTGAAGATGTTAAAATTTGTTGACATAGAATTCTATACCTGAAAAATAATCCTTCAAGATGAAAATTAGTAAACAAAAGCTGAGATTATTTTTTACCAGCAGGAAAAGCCAAAGATTTCAGCACATGGAGTAAAAAAAAGATCACCTACAGATAATACACATACACACACTACACATTGGAGTAGAGGAAGAAAAAAGAGGCAGGAAGTATTAAGTCGGTGAGTAAATATAACATATTTGTTTTCTTTCTCTCAACTTTTTAAAAGACAATTGTTTAAAGCCAGAGCAATAAGGATGCATGATAGCGTTTATAACATGCAGAGAAGTCAGATCCAACAATAAGAACACAAAGGACAGAAAAGCGATAAATGAAATTATAATGTTCAAAGTGCTTACATTACGCACAGAATGGTATAACGTCCACTGAAGGTAGACCGGGATACACGGAGGATGCGTATGGGACTTCCTAGAGCAAGCTCGGGGCCCTGGTAGGTGGTGGGTTGTGCATGGGGCTGCTAACGGAAAGGTCGGCATTAGAACCACCAGCCTCTCCTCAGGAGAACTAGGAGGCATTCCGCACCCGGGAAAGAGTCACAGGCTCGGAACCCACCAGGGCAGTTCTGCTCTGCCCCACAGGGGCCCTGTGAGTCGGAATCAATCAACGTGGTGGCCATGAGACAGGAAGCATTCGTGACAGGAAAGTATTCATTTAAAGAGCCAATATGCGAATAAGTCTAATAGTATTGCTTCTAGAGTTCCAGTTAATACATGCGTAGATTTCTTCCAAACGAACCATGTTTAAACATTCCGGCGTGATCAGGGAATAAATGTAGATACATTCTCCAAGTAATACACTTGTCTGAGTCTCGTTTGGGGGCTTTTAAAGAAAGAGTCCATCTGAACAGGGACGACCAAGGAGACTGCTGGGCCACTTAAGTTCCAGGCTGGGAGGTCAGCACAGAAAGCCATGGGGATTTCTGAGGGGGAATCATGATAGATTTCCTTAAAGGACACAGGACAATCACCGAGGTTTAGTAGGAATTATAATAAAATTAAAACCTACATTCGTGAAAAAGACCAAGAAAGTTGCAATGAGGAATTTTCCCATCACCGCAATGCTTGTGCCCATCCCCTAAAGGTAGCAGGGGTGGGCTGGGGTTGTGCACATTTCACAGAGAAAACTGACCCAAACCCTCCCTCCCTAACCTTGCCCCTTTAGCTTCTTTTTGTTCCCCAAACTCAAAGAACAGTTCAAAGGAACTAACTTTCCTAGCTGCATCCCCTCATCAATGCAGTTTTCCATTTTATTAAAATTCCGAAAGCCCCCATAATCATCCTGCGTCCTTTAAGAATATCTGTCAGAATTTCTTTCAACTCCCGAAAACCACTTTCGGTAGTCTAAACTGACTTCCCTGCCTGACAGGTAAATGGCCCCTCAGCACCCAGTGTGGTCGATCGACCCTGCTTGCTGGACCATACTGGTGAATCCAGCACTCATTTCTGGTTAAGATTTTTCCATAATAACCTCTTTAATAGCTTAGATCTTGCAAAAAATCCGGCTATTCGACCTAGTAGTGGTTTGGGCAGCCATCCACCCCAAAGCTTGCTGCAGCCAATACCTGTTAAATCCCGCCTTCAGGGTTATGACACCAGTGGTAATTCTATATTCTTCTCCCCACAGTCTCTGGACTTCAGCCACAATGTCTTCATTCATCGTGGTTGACAAGCTGCCTTTCTTGGCTCCTCTTTAAGGCTTTCTTGATTGGTCCTCCTTAAAACACTTCGTCTATCTAAAAACCGTTGGTTTATGTGGTGCAGCATTCCCTCAACATGTTACAAAGCTTCGGTGATTTGGCATATGTCCACTGAGTTTGGTTAAAAATTTGGTTTTAGCCCTGACTTCAAATTCATTTTTTATCCAAGGCACACAAAAAAATCTTTTTATGTGTTGAAGGCACCCTAAGGAGATTAAGAAAAGTATATGATGGAGCTAGCTTTTCCACCCCAACCACTGAGAGCCAAGACGTGTTTAAATGATGTTTGTTTGGAATAAATACATGCATGGATGAAAGTATAGCACTACTTTTTGACTTATCCTTGTATAAACGCACCAAAGTTGGAAGTAAAAGACTGTGAGGCAGGAGCTTCCTGGAACCAACATGAGACAACTTTCTGGAGGCATAAACATGATTTATCTCTTGATTATGATTGACATCCACCAAAACTCACTTAGTCTTGGTCTGTGCATTTTACTCTATGTAAATCTTGTCGCCAAATCTTAATATGTTTTAACTTATTATATCCTTTACCTGCTAGTAATATTTATAGCACGGGTTCTAAAATCACTTGGGTGACACTGAACAATATTTTTAATTGTAACAAATGTTTCTACTTATTATCATTTTGAGGGAGAATGCACTGTGTGGCTAGAAACCAAGGATGCTGCTAAAAATCCTACAGTATCCCGCCCCCCCCACCAAACATCCCAAAGTCTCAGTAAACTGAGACTGCGAAATTGGCTTGAATATTCAATCCTTGTGAGAATTTAAATAAGGCTAATTTAAATAAGATTAAGAAACCAAAAAGAACACGCAACTTAAATTTAATTTAAATAAGATTAGGAAGCCAAAAAGAACTCACAACCTAAATGCAATTTAAATAAGGTTAAAAAGCCCAAAAGAACTCACAACTAACATTAAACTAAAGGAAGGTGATCCACGCTGGAGAAGTGGGCTCATACAATTGGTAGAAAGTCTAACAGTCAGCAGTTCTCAACCTGTGGGTTGCGACCTCTTTGGGGGTCGAATGACCCTTTCACAGGCATTGCCCAATTCATAACAGTAGCAAAATTACAGTTATGAAGTAGCAACGAAAATACTTTCGTGGTCGGGGGAACTGTCTGAGGAACTGTATGAAAGGGTCGCGGCATTAGGAAGGTTGAGAACCACCGGTCTAACTGAGGGAAAATGTAAGGAAGGAGACAGAAGGTTTAGGGGATGCTGCATTTTGAGTTAGGCTCTGTATTAAGAACTGTGAACACAAACAGAGGGAAAATGAATGAAAAAGAGGCAGAAAGGAAGTCAGGTGAGTAGTGGGTTCAAAGAGAAAGGGACTTGCCTCCTTGTTTAGGTAGTATCCAGAGCAGAAGTGCCCTATCAAGTTTCTGATGCTTTAAACCCTTACAGAAGCATACTCCTCAGTCTTCCTCCTGCAAGCAGATGGTGGGTTTGAGCCACTGGCCTTTGGGTTATCAACTCCATGTTTAACCCACAGTGTCAGCTGAGCTCCCTGTATGTATGCATTATAACTACCGCCATTGAGTTGACCCCAACACACAGAGAGCCTCTGTAGGGTTTCTGAGGTTGCAGATTTTTATGTATAAAGAGAGCCTCATTTTTATCCTGAGCAGAAGCTAGTGGGTTTGAATGGCCATCCAGGGCTTACCAGAGAGCACTATTGAGTCTTGTATATTTCATAGAAAGTGGAAAAAACACAAATCAAGAAAAGAAGCAAAATAAGATACGAAAGGGCTTTAGGATACAAAAGAAACCCCAATCTCAAATATAATTTTTAAAAGACCATCTATTAAATCTTAACAGCTACAAACACACAGACACATCATCCAGATGAAGGAGGCCATTACCATGAGGTAAAAACGGTTTCCCAGGGGTCACGGTCAAGCTGCTACTTAAATAGACCTGAAGCAAAGGAACTGTCATCACAAACTCATGA